ATACCTTACAAGCATTGAGGAAGAATCTAATGGGTAGAGTATGGAGCAGAGCTTGATGGTTTTCACCAGTATTGAGCAACAGACTCAGCACCCTCCTGCCTGTCCTGCTGCAGTCCCCCCTGCACAATCGTGTGCAGTGTCTTGCTTTATTGAACACTTCAGTTCCCCATCTGTAGGAGCAAGATAAGTAGTAGGTGTCCATCCCATAGGTATGTTGCAAAATAAATATGCTTTACATTATTAGCGTTCCAGGAATACTTTAAAAAAACTGCACCACAAATACTAAGAGTAATCTTTCACTGCTAAAAAAGAAACATAATTTGCTTTCAATCTTAAAGTCTTAACTATGCAAACACATATGCCAGAGTACAGAAGACTATTTTCTTAGTTTATCTGTTTCTTCTGATAACTGTGTTTGGCCTGGTGACTCAAACTGCTCTGATCACATGCTATTTGAACTCAGTGCCCCAAACAGTGTCTGAAGAAACACATGGATTGGTCTGTCTACAGCGTTGGCCAAGGCATCTGCCATCCTCCTCACTGTCCTAATCGACACAGCAGAAAATATATATGTGCATATCCATCCTGCTGTCAGGTGAGGGAAGAATAGACATTTTCACAACTTGGATTTCTCTAGTAAGATTGATTACCCATGAGAATCTGCTTTCCCACAGTGTTTTTCTAATCTTTCTTCAACCTCCTCAGTTAATATCTGAAATCAGTAGAGTGGAAGAGCTGCCATACCTGTCCCAGAAATTGACATTTTAAAAACATGATAATAGAAGTCCTTTCTTAAAACTTTCAGGAATATGTGTAGCTTAAAAAGCTGACTCCTATTTAAAATAATGACTAAGCCTCTCAGGAATCAACTCCCAAAGTCACACAGGTAGTTCTGAATGTGTTACCCTTTTACAGTAATTACGCCATCACAGTTCCAGTCAAAAACTGATGAGTGTTACTAATATATGCCGATGAGTGAGCTTCTAAGTGAAAGACCTTGCTTTATTTACACTCCAGTAAATCACAATGCAAACCAAGACTTACTTTCACATACAAAAGCAACAGATTTGACCCTAGGACACACTTAGCAAGGTTAACCAATACCCAGGGAGCAGGTTTATGGGAAACTGGCTGCGAGCTGATGCAGTTCTACCTTTTTTTTTTTGCTGTAGACTATGAAAACTTGGAGTAAATGCTTCGTTTTCAGTACCTTAACACCAGTCACTGCACCAACCTCCAAACCTAATGAGAGCCAGATGCACAGTCACAGGTATTTAGCTGCAAGAATTTCTGATCTTACTCCATCAGTACAAAGGCAGTCTGTGACAGAGAAAACACTGGGAGACAGGTTTAGGTTTCCCATCTCTTATGCTAGCTCTGTCCAATGGACTGCTCCCTCTGATGAAGTCTGTGCACCTGCTACTGCATTAACTACTTGTTTCTGAAGCAGTAAAGCTGGCAAGAGGGTCAGCAGTAAGTAGTACAGCAAACTACTTAAAAAGATAAATACTGTTAACTTCCCTCAAACCTGCCCCCACTTCTTTCCTCAGTCATTATTCCAGCAGATATTTTTGTAAATTATTTCATCATCTAAGAGCAGGTGGCCAGTTTGTCATATCTCTATGCAAGATTTCCATATGTATTACTCCGCCACCAGCATTTTCTCATGCATACATGCATGGATCAGCAATTGCTCCACTACATTTTCAAACAGAATAAGAGTCATAAATCTCAAAAAAAAAAAAAAAAAAAGTATGCCAAGAAATTCAGCATCCTAAGCTACAGCTGTTCATTCCTCCCCTCTATTCAGAAAAAAAGCCACTTGTTCCTTACTGCAGATGTTACGAAGTTGATGGACTTGCTCTGGATGTACATTAGATACCAGCATTCAGGATCTGACCCACTGCATCGTTCGACATTTGTGCCCATGCAGAAAAATCCAGTGACATTCAAAGTAGAACAAGCAGTCTGCACTCTCCTCCCACTGACTATCTTCTGTCAAGTCCCTTCTGTAGCAACAACAGGAGAAGCAGCAACTCCAGCAAAGAGTGGGCTAATGTTCCTCCCATCTGCCAGTCCCACGCTCATTCTGTTTTCACTTGGACCAAATCCTCCCAACTTCTTCTGCTTTACATTTCATTAAATCTGGATGCCACAGACACCAAGAATAATATTGTTGATCTTTGAAAGGTCACTTTCAAGGCACATTTCCATATCTTAAGACTACTTCTCTTCCTAAGCCCTGTCTACGGGACTAGCTTGAAAGTCTGAAAATGAATTCCATATTTTCCATATTAGACCAGTTCCCTCAGCCCTAATTTACTTATTGAGGACAGCAGAAGCTTCTGCAAATACCATTCTTGTGGATTCACGTTAGTATTCCCCACCTCCAGAATCTGATGTTCCCTCTGCACAAAGAAGCTGCACACTATCACACTGAGGCAAAATTTTTTCCTCCTTCAGCCTATGCAGGTAAAAAATGTAAAGGAAGGCATGGAAGCTACATATTTAGGAGAAGATGAGGATAACTCCCACAAGCAGGGGGAATGCACTGCAGGGGTTGTGAAACTTGAGCACAGCAGGAGCAAGAAGCCACCAGGAGTGACAGCACCACAGGAGCAGCGCAAAGCAAATAACTAAACCAGGCAAAGACAAATTAAGAGTGATCCAGCTGAAGTCAGCATCCTAAACCCCTCAAGGATAGATTAACTCAGTTGAACAAACTGCCCAACCTGTATGCAACAGGTCAGCAGGGAGACCTGGCTTTACACACAGGTGACATACATAGAGACTCTTGGCTTGAATCCACAAGGAGTAATTTTACACCCAAAGATAGAGAGAGGAAAAAAAAAAAAAAAAAAAAGGCAGAAACAAGCAAGGCCAAACAGCCATCCTCAAGGAGCCCTCTGAAATTATTAATCAAACAGAGGAGAGTTTCTGCTCCAATGATCCCAGCAATGAAACGTCACCTGCCAGCCACAAACAGCACACAATATGAGTGGCAGGCCACACAGGTCTCGAGCACAGATACAGCCAAAGAGGAGCACTGATGAATCACAGCATGATGTCAACAGTGAGAATGGTTCATCACTTGCCCTACATCCACCTCTTACAGTGCCCTCACTTACCACTTTGCCAGGGACAACACCAGCTCAGAAACAGGGCTTGTCTTCTTCCTCCCAGTCCTGAAATGCAAGTAGATCTCTCCCACTATCAAGGTGCAGAGAAAAGGAAACAAGTTCTGTCTACCTGAAAATCTGTTTTATCCCTTCAATTCTGTCAGTTTCAGTCTTAGTTTATGGGGAAAAAAAAACTCCAAAATGAAATAAGCAAGCAAAATATCACCCAATCCACACACAAGCCCCACGAAGAAGGCCAGCTTTGTTTCTGCAATTCTTAGTTCCTCTACAAAGAATCTTAAGCAGGTAAAAACACCCACCAAAACTTCAGTAAATTGAAACTGTCTTTCACATTAGTTCTTAACACAGATGCTGGGCCAGCTCTGTTCCTCTTGCAGCTGCTCTGACTTGGGAACCACACTAGCGGGGTGTTTGGCCCTCTGCAATTTGCACTGAGCTCTGTATCAAGTGGGATATTTCCTAGGATGGAGAATCAAAATAACAGCAAGTCAAACAAACTGATGCAAAACAATGGCATGAAGTGCACCCACAACTTTTAAAGAGATGCTGCCAGGATCAGATGTGAAGAACAAACTCCTGTTTCTGTCAGGAAATCCAAAGCCATAGGTATACTTCCTAAAGTTCCCGTTTACTTCCTTGCCACACCCTTGTCATCCCTTTTACCTTCTCTTAAACTAATAGAATCCCATTTTTACAACGGCCCTAACAGACTTACAGAAACAGAGAAGCACTTTTCATAAAGAAAACTGATGACAGCTAGTCCATGCAAATTTCAGCCTTCAAGAGTTGTCCCTCTTGTGAAGCTAAATGCATAATTTCATTGCAGAAATACAGAAAGATACACCCAGGTATGGAGCACGCCAACCTGGTGCATCAGTACTAACCAAAGCATGAACAACAATTTCCAGATGACAGATATTTCCAGACAACAGCATTCTTTCAAGCCTGCCACCAAAATCCCAGGTTGAGTTGACTCATAAGACAACCAAGGTTTTGAGGGCTTAGACTTTCACACGTTCACAACACTGAGCAACTAAAGCAGAGCGATGCCCGCTGGTGCATGTGGAGATGCTGCAGTTACCTGTGCTGGGACAGCCACACTCAGGGCTCAGATCTCCACTGTGAGCTGTGCTCCTCTACCCAAGAGGAGCCTCTACCCTGCGCCGATACGACATCCCAGTGTGTTGCACAAAGTCATCGATCTGTAGAGGGTCCCAGGAACAGACCGGGATGCTGCGAGTGGTCCATAACGAGCACAATGCTACCCTGCTCCTCACCTGCCAGAACCCCTCTGCCCGGTTGTCAAGGCTCTCCGAGCACTGTTTCCAGAGTTTTTGAGCCGTTGGGAACAAAAAAACAAGTTGTGAGTTTGCTTTCTAATCCCCAACAATCCCACGCACATGAGCTGAAAACACCCAGTCCTGTCTCGAAGTAAAGAAAAAGACCAAAAAAAGAAAAACTGCCTCCTCCTCGTTGTAAGGAGAGATAGCATCTGCGTCTTGCTTCGAGAAGCCCAGCAAACGCTCGAGCAAACCGATCTGGAAGCTTTCACAAAGTCCTCGGAGGTCCAAAAGATAAGAGCTGAGGCAGCGCGCAGATCGGCAGGAGAGAAGGGAGGAAAGTAAAAGATCGCCGCGCGTCTGAAACCGCGGGGAGGGAAGGAGGGAGGACGGCCACAAACGCAGCGATCCCTCGCCCGACAAAGCCCTGCGTGACACAGGGTAACTCGGGAGAACGCCCTCCTCTCCTCACCGCGCACTGCGGAGGGAGAGACGCGGAACCCCCTCCCGCCCCTTTATTCGCGTTACCACGAAGCAAGAAACCCCCGAGAAGCCGACAACCCGCACAAAGCAGCCCTACCGTGGGCAGCCTGCGGTCCCGAGCCGAGCAGCGCAGAGCTTCCTCCGTGGCCCTTTCTTCCCGACGCCGTCTCGGCCGAGCAGGGCCCGGCGGGGCGGCTCATGCCCGAGCGGCGCTCCGCATCGCAGCGCTGCGGGGAGAGGGACGGAGCGAAGTTGGCCGCGGCTCCCACCCCTCCGAGGGCACCTCCGCGCGCTCGCGCTGCCACGCTCGCGATTCTCCACAAAGCCCCCGGCGCCGCCCCGCGCGCCCCCCGGCTCCGCGTCCCCCGGCAGCTGGACGGAGCCCCGCCGCCCTCCCTCCGCTCACCGGGGCCGCCGCCGCCGCGGGCCGCGCCCTCAGAGCCCGCCCATGCCCGGCGAGAGGCACCCGCCGCCGGGCAGCGCCGGCCGGCCCCCGCCCGCCGGCCATCCCTTATAGCGCCGCGCCGCTGCTATAAATAGAGCCGCCCCGCCGCCGGGGGCCGGGCCGGGCGCTGCGGGCAGCGGGGAGGCCCGGCGTCACCTGCGGGGGGTGGGAGATGGGTTACGCTCCGGGCTCGTTTGCCTGTAGACCGGAGCGCGCGGCCCCAGAGCCCCGGCGTGGCAGTGGGCCCGGCGTTAAGGTGGAGCGCGGCCGAGGAGCGGCGGAGGCACCTTAAGGCGCCCGAGGGCTGTCACGGGGACCGGCGCTCCCCCGGGAGCTGCGCGTGTCCCTGCAATGGACGGCAGCGAACGGCTGGCTCCCGTAGGGCTCTGTGAGCATCAATTCTGCTGCACGCACACGTATTTGTATATATATACATCTGTGCTGAATACGAGGAAGCCATGTACCTCTTATTGTGATAACACAATTTGCCTTTTATGTACCAGTCCCAGTTGAGACTTTAGGGAAAGCACAGGTGCTGCTTGCTGTCCTCCTCTCTTCTTTGTGCCCGTGGCTCTGGAGGTGAAACCCGTGCAGTGTGTAGTGCTTCGCACCACCCCTCACCTGCAGCTTCCTCTGCAGCCCTGTGCCTTCCTTTGGCTGAAGGCAGCCAGAACCCTGCATTTGCACAAGCCCTGCGTTTGCACAAGCCCTGCAACATTTGCACAAGCACTGCTATTGGCATACACACTGTTGTACAGAGGATGTGGGCAACAGCTGCCTGAGAATAACTTGTGAGCGAGGGCAGTCATAGAATCATAGATTCCTTAGGGTTGGAAGGGACCTCTGAGAACCATCTAGTCCAGCTCCCCTGCAATGAACAGGGACAGCCAGCCTGGAGCTGCCTCTGTGCTACCACAGGGCTCAGTGGAGCACCAGGGCTCCTTACTAGGCTGTGTTCAGACCTTTTGGCCATGCCACCCAGCTCTAGCAAGTGGGCCTGGGCCTTTCTTGAGCCCTTGGAGGTACGGAGCCTGAGCTCTCCAAGATTGGGTGAGTCCCTCTTATCTCACTGAAGGAGGGCCCAGCCTCATACCAAATGGTGTATTATGAACTGCCACGAACGCATTCCGCAAGCAAGCTGGCCCTCTTTGCCTGTAAATTCTTCACTAATCTTGCTCCATCTGAAGACATAAAAAAATGAGCCCAGAATAACCCCCCTAGGCTTTTCTGACTAAACCATGGGGCTGAGACACTTTGTTGATGTAAATCAACAGCTTGGATGTTAGGGTGGGGGTTTGTCAACAGCAGTCTCAGGTTTGCATGTGAATTCAGTGCAAAACTGCACTCTTGTTAGCTGCAAATTTTCTTTCCTGGACAAAAATCCTCTCAGTTTCCCGAAGACAGACTTTTGTTGAACTTGTTAAGTATGCAGTACAGCAATGGAGGTTCCCAGCTCTGAGCAAACCTTGTCCCTAAATGCTGGGACACTGCAGGCTTGGCACCAGTAGGCCAGAGGCTTTGGGTTTACATCTTTAAATCTGAGCATCCAGATTTCTATTTGGGCATCTTAAACAGATCTCTGCTCAGAGCTGGTAAATTTCTGCTCACATGCAGGTACCTCTATTCCCAAACAAGGAGCAGACCAACATTTGGACACCCAAATCCTAAAATTTTACTGTGTTTCATATCAGTGTTAACAACACTCAAGAGAAAATGCCTATGGCCTGACTCCTAGCTATCCCTCCATTCTCTAGAGTCCTCCTGCCCATACTGAAATTTTGTAAGAAGGAAAGCCAGAAATCCCCATTTCATCTTTCAGTTCCAGCCAGAATCTGGAACAACATTAAATGTTTTGTAGTGCATATTAGTTAACATTGCTACGGGGGAATTGTTGCTGTGGTTGAGCTCTTACACAATACAACTTCTATTTGTGTGCATTTTTTGTATCCTGCTGAGTCACCCAAGTAGCCCTCAAAGAAAACTTTCAGTTTGGTTTGACAGCAGACACACTGTCAGGAAGAGCCCTCCCTGGGAGGATGCAAGTGCAGATTGGGCAAAACTTCAAACTTTATTGAAAACTCAAAGAAAAAAAAAAGCACCTTAAAATATGAGCCCACATTTTCCCCATACAACTTCAGGCAAGATTTCCAGCCTGGTTCAACATCACTCAATAGGATTAAAGTGACATACAGTCTCTGAACTATTCAGGTCAGGCTGTACCTCAGACCTACTGTCTCTAAGGGAATGTATTGTCTAGGTAGTGTAACATTTCACTACTAGGGCTAAATAAACAACGTGACTGTTTATTGTTCATTGTTAAAGGTGTAAGTGGTTGCAGCAGAGAAGGCGGAGAGTGGGCCTTGGGTGTTAAATGTGGAGATGGGCACAAGGAGACCAAAGGCAGAGCCCTACCTGATGGTTGTCTCAGATGAGCAGCAAAGGAGATAGTTGAAGTGTACCTACGACGTGTCAGATGGCTTCAAGTCTGTGTGAAACCAACACCTTTCTAAATCACACTGCAACTCCAGTTGGTAAGAGGTAATAGAGCACTCCTTCAGGATATGAATGAGGAACATCATTGTGCATCTATGGACTGGGAACTACTGAACTATAAATACACAGCTTCAACAGCTGAGGTTCATTTCACTGAATTTCTGTGTGGTGCTTGGCATGGACTGAGGTAAAGCTACTTAGCAGTAGAGGACATCTAGTGATATTCAGATGTAACTACATAAACCCGGTAAAAGTTCATATGTGACTGTTCAGAAGATGCTATGGCTAAAGATGGGATATGGTGTGGCTCTGACAGCTGCAGGAGGGCTGTGAGAAGCTGACTGTACAGCACACACTATAAGCAACCCATTAAGAAAAAGCCACAGAGAAGCTTTATATATGTACATATGTGTATAAATATATGCACAACATACATGGAGAGCATAGGCAAAAAAATATTGGGAGCTGCTGATGATACACCATTTAACAGGGTGATATTACAGGGAAGCACAGCTTTTTAATTTCTGCAGCCAAGACCCTGTAAGCAGGGAAACAGAGATTAAAATCAGTCATTTTCTTTCAGGACTCTGCTCTTATCTCAATTTGCCTCTCATGTGACTCACCCTGAGCACACACTACAAACATCAGCTTTAAGATGAAGATTCTTTTTTTCTCTCCAAGAGATGAACTCTTTCTCCATCCTTTTTGCAGCATGCTTTGCAGAGTCCTTCACCTCCTCCAGGTTATTTATAACAGGAAAATCTCTGGAAATATTTTTCCATACATATTCCAGGCCTAGGATGAGGAATTCGGCTTCAAAACTGGCAATTTGCTTTCTAGAAAGACAAAGATCAGCAGAGCTGTGTTCTGGAAGAACACCCTTTCCTAAGTAAACTCAATTTATCTGACACTTCTTGTGAGTGAAATTATTCACTTTAAGATCACCATTAATTTAGGAGTAAGGGGTATACATTTGAGACTTTATTTCTTGCACATATTTCCACACCAGACGCACTCAGTTTGCAAGGGTTGAGAAGAGGTGGAACTTTATTACTCCTAACAAAACTCTTTTTTTTTTAATATAAAAAAAAGTACGTTTCTGTGGGCTAGAGTGGATTCTCAGGACTAGCTGTACAAAACTACAGTAGGCAACAGTTTGCAGCTCAGCAAACAAGTCTGACACAGGAGCAGGGAGGTACCTGGCCATTAAATGATGGCAGCAGACCAGGACTGGGAGTAAGCTCTGATTGGTGCAAGCACAGAGCGACCACAGCCCCAGCGAGTAGCAAGACAAGATTTTTTTCTCTTGCAGAATCATTTCTCAGGGCTGAATGGCACATTGCAGGCCTAATCCTGGAAACTCTTTCCATGAGAACTGATATTATTAGTTGGGTGTGCAAAGATACGTGTTCAAATTGTACAGGTCTGTGACAAAGGGCCACAAAGATGAGAGAAAAAGAACAGAGGAAAAGGCTGTATTAGCTAAGATGACATTGTAACAACTGCTGGTTCTTGCATTCCTTGTGCATTTGTTTTATTTATCAATGGACCCTATATTTAGCCATCATAAGATCCATGTGCAGAGCAGCCCCAGCTCCTTGCTGGCTGAGGAGCTCTCCCAAGGGGAGCTGGTGGCTAGCAGAGGCTGGCACAGCTCTGTGCTGTGCCATAGCTGTTCGTACAAGGCAAGGATCATTTCTCCAGCACACTGAGTCATTATAGGAAGGAGACCAAATTTTACCCAATTTCCGAGAGCAGAACAGCTCTAAACCTTGTGATGAAACAAAAGCTGGCAGAACACAGGCTGTTATGTAGCAGGCAGGGAGGCCACTTGAGGCACATGCAGGAGGTCTTCAGATGAGCATCCGTAAAGGACACTTCAGAAGCTGAAAGCTGCTGGTGTTGAGCAGGAAAGGCACAATGCAGCTGCTTCAGTACTGGGAGACTCAGAAATGATGTGGGTTTTAAGGCAAGACAAGGAAATCAATGACCCAGACAGAAAAGGAGATAGTGCCAGATGAAGCCCAATGACGACATTTCCAGGCAATTTGTTCACACTGCTGGGTGAGCTGCTCTGGGGAGAGATGGAACAGATTAGAGATGACTGCATATACTTTGCCCAAGAGCAAGATTGTGAGATTCACAGTTGCAAGGGCTCTGTGGCTCCACACAGAAACATTAATAACTGATTCCCTTACCTATCAAAACATCAGCTCCAGCTGACTACCATTTCTGCATGTAAGAAGGCAATTACTTTCCCTTTTA